AGGGTCACCAAGGCAGAGGCTAGGAGATGCAATACCGAGACTGCTGTGGACACAGTGTGGCGACTGACAGGGACTATGGCTCAGGTATGCCTCCCAGCTGGGGTGGAGGAGACGAGAACTCTGCAGCTGAGTTCTGACCTAAGGGGCCCTGGGTACAGGAAGGCTTGTCATGTCTATCCTGAATTATGACAGGAACCTTATTACAGACAGTGGCAGCCAGGAGCTAAAATCATCAAGGGAGAACAGCATGGGGCCTTCTCTGCACCAAGGTGGGGGGCTGGGAGCAGTGTATAATCTGGTGACATAAGGCACAAAGCCAAGCTGGGGTTATAGGGAGGCAAAGGAGCAATGATCAGGAAATTAAACAAGGTGGCTGTGTTTTGATGAAAGGATTGCAAACGACAGCTCTCCATCTTCCCAGCTCTCCTTCCTTACCACGTCAGAAATGGAAGAGAAGAAGCCCCCACAATCCTCATCCCTACCCCTCAGCTTAGTCCTATGAAAGAGTCAGAGGCAGAAGATTGTCACTGCCTTGACTGACCCGATTTGATTGATCACAAGAACACCGTTATCAGTGGCGAAACTATGTGTTGGACTTCATAGAAATGAGGCTAAAACCAAAAGCTCATGTCTCCAAGGCCACATTCCCCAAATGGTCTGCTTTTACTTAGTTCAAAAGAGTCACATGCTTCGTCAGGGACCTGAAATGGATTTTCTCCGTTTTAAATCTCACTGCCTATGAATGAAATTACTTACTGAACACTCCTAGGAAGTGCCAGCAGCACAGAAGAGGAGGGTCACTGTTCTCTAAAAACTACATTGTAGAGCAGTGTGACACACATACTGTGTCATTACACATTATATGATCCTCTCATTGACTAATTACAAAAATGACTCTCCAAAGGCCATTATCTAAACTCTTATGTTCATATTCTAACCCAAAATGCACATTTGGGGATGGGGAAAGCTGAACACGGTCTTATTCATTGAATAAATTTATCTCCTTTGAAGAAAAGAATGACAAAAGCTGAGCCTTCCTCCTCATCTCACCTCCTCTAAATGCTGGAGGTACCGAGTGGCAGTGGGACTCACCCTGTGGGTTCAGCTTGAGAGGTGGATACTTTCCAGGTCCAAAGACATCCAAGACCCATTGTCTCAATGGGGCGGAGTTCAAAAACTTAACCTCAAACCCAGTAAGTAAATATTCCACTTCAATTACCTTTGCTGTTCTCATTATAATACCATGAGTTGCTAAGAGTACAGTGAAGTGAAATTGCCAGTAAGCAATAATCAGAGCCCTCCCCCCAACACACACGTGCATGCCCATGTACATGTGTGCACATGCGCACACACAAAATGAAAAAAGTATGACAAGAGTCTGGCTTCCAGGACACTGTGGTACTTGGATGCCCACCAGAGAAGCGGACCAGCAACGTGATGCCCCCTCCCCACCAAGACAAGGGGAAGCCCTGCTCTTCCCTCGCTCTCCTGACCCCAGGCAGCAGCAGCAGCCGTTTTCCACAGGATCCCAGGCCAGGCCACTTTCTCTCAGTGTCCTAAATAGGCAGAGCATCATCTCTGGCCTGTGTCCAGAGCAGCTGGGAAAAGCAAGCGTGTTTGCTTTGGGAAAAAAATCCCCAAGCTCACATGAAACCTGGTTTGGCTACTGGGGCTCAGGCCTGTCTGATCCTTTGGCACAGGAAGAGAAAATAAGTTCTCTTCAACTGCAAATGACAGAAAGACACATGAAGGGGGGCCAGCCAACATGGACGGGGAACTGTCTGTTGGCCCTTGGATGACAACCTTTCCACCATGTTTCTCTATGTGCCCGGCTCCCCTTGTTTTCAGAGTAGCAGAAATGGGATTTGAAGCCAGAAGAAACCTCTTTATCAGATTTTAGGCCTCGGGCAAGTGGCTTAACACCTGGTAGAATCAGGCTTCTGCACACACAGCTCACCGTGAGCACAATTAGATGTGTAATGAGCACTTAACCTTGTGCTCAGCCCTTTCTATTAAATGCCTTGTCAGTAATGTCTCACTTGATCTCCAAAACCCTATGAAGTAGCCCTTCATACCTTCCTCATTTCACAGATAGGGAAGCCGGGACTCCCCAGAGCTCTATCATAGCCTAGTGTGAGGATGAAATGAGATAGTACATAGAACACATAGTATCTGGCATATAGCAGTGACTGAAAAAAAATGAAACTTCCTAACCATATTTAAAAGAACAATCATAGGCTTGGTGCCTGTAGCCGAATGGTTACAGCGATGGCCACACATACAGAGACTGGCAGGTTCAAACCCTGCCAGGGCCAGCTAAGCAATAATGGCACCTGCAACAAAAAAATAGCTAGGTATTGTGGTGGGCGCCTGTGGTCCCAGCTACTTGGGAGACTGAGGCAAGAGAATCACTTAAGCCCAAGAATTAGAGGTTGCTGTGAGCTGTGACACTACAGCACTCTATCCAGGGAGGCATAGTGAGACTCTGTCTCAAAACCAAAAACAATTGTAAAAAAATGCATACAATGATGCTTTAAAATGCATACCTATGTTTAAATAATGATGTATGTGCAGAAAAAAAGGTCTGAAAGTACGCACAGCAAGCTATGCACAGGAGCGACGTTCACAGAAGGGAATTTTTACTTCTCCTTCAGAATTGGGTTTTTTTAACAAGCAAATACGTAGTATTACTTGTATAACTTAAAATACATTTAAAAAATCAGAAACACTAAAAAATATACAGAAAAAATAATCTAGATGAAAATATGTCCAAATGTTTATGGCAGTGGATGAGGTTTGTCTTGCTTTTTATTTCTATACATGCATTGGTTTCCTTTTCACTAACTTTTTAAGAGATAGCATCTTGCTATGTTGCCAGGCTGGACCAGAATACCTGGATTCTCCCTCCTGCCTCAGCCTCCTGAGTAGCTGGAACTACAGATGCACACCACTGCTCTCAGCTTGTTTTTACTAATTCTTCACACTAATACATTCTTCTTATCAAGTTGAATGACAAGGCTTTCCACCACCTTCACCTCCCAATTTCAGCCCCTTCCCAGAAGTAGTCAAGGCTATCAATTTGGTATGTATCCTTCTCAGTGTATGTATATATGTGTATACCATGTGTATATTCTGGCTGCTGTAAAAGAATACCATGGACTAGATGGTTTATAAACAACAAATTTATTTTCCACAGTTCTCTAAGTCGGGAAGTCCAAGGTCAAGGCACTGGCAGATTTGAGTCAGCAAGGGCTGACTTCCTTATAGACAATTGTCTTCTCACTCTAACTCATGTGGTGGAAAGCACGAGAGGTCTGTCTTGGGATTAGGACACTATGACCGCAGTACCACACTGCATTCCTGCCTGGGTAACAAAGTAAGATTCTGTCTCTTAAAATAAAAAAATAGGGCCCTTAATCATTTTTTAAAAATTGTTTTTAGCAACACTGAAATTTGTGCTTTCTGCTGAAACCTGAAGCTCTGGCACGGTGTTCTGCCTGTACAGATGGTAGTTCCTCCTCCTGAAAGCCTCCCTTTCTTTTCCTTTTTTTTTTTTTTTGCAGTTTGGCAGGGCCGGGTTTAAACCCACCACCCTCAGCATATGGGGCAGGCGCCCTACTCACTAGAGCCACAGGCACTGCCCCCTCTGCTTCTTGTCTTCTAAGCAAAAATCTCTATCCAATCGTAAGGTACAGCTCAAGTGGTACTTCCTTTAAAAAGAAGATAAAACTAATCCCACACAGAATTACCCTGTCAACAATTCTCTTGTAGTGGTTTTTCCTATTCTATTAAAATCATTTGTTTATACTCTATTTTAATGCACTCACTCAGGTGAAAACTGTGTCTTTTTTTTTTTATTAACCCCCCCCCCAAGAAACCTATGTACTCAGCCCTTTGTTTAGTAAATGAAACAATAAATAAAATTGGGGGTTTATTTTATTTTTGCCAATCCTCCTTCCCGTTCCTCTTCCCTTCCCCACTAGAGCACACTTTTGTTTTTCTTTCCTGTGGGCACATAGTTGTTTATATATTGGGTTCACATTACTATTGAGTACACTGGATACTTGCTGTTCCAGTCAAGTGCTACTTTCCTAAGAAGAATGTGTTTCAACTCCATCCAGGTAAATACAAAAGATGTAAATTCTCCATCTTTTTTATGGTTGAACGATACTCCATGGAGAATTTCTGTTTCACAGAAGACTCTAAACTCTTTCGATAAAACAAAGCATCTTCTGATCATGTTTATCAGACATTCAAAGTTGATTTAAAAAAAAAAAAAAACAATAAGTTTTCTTAAGTTAGACTTCACTTCAATGAAAACAGTTTGCCCTCCTGGCAACTTGAAGAGTTCACGGAGTAATTCTAGAGCCAGCTAAGCGCTCTAGGAGTTGTGATTAGACACAGCTGACTGACATGCCCTTTGAAACCACTACTCCTCAGGTGCTAGTGGTCAGCGTTTATCAGGAACCAAAAGTACTGCATTATTTTGAAAGAACGTATCTTCCAGGATGGAGACTTATGGTCAGAGAATGATCTTCTTCCAGGTGTGCAAGCATCCTGCTACCTCCTCTCTCAAAATAAATGAGTTTGGTTCCATTATATAATAGTAGTTTGCTCCTGAAATTGAAAAACATAGCTAAGAAAAAAAAATTTCAGCAAGGTTATTTGTATAGGCTGAGATACTAAAAAAGGAAGGCAACCCTCTTACATCATAAAGCCTCTCTAAAATACACACAGTTCAATTTCACACATGGTGACGTGTATCACGCATTCCCTGAACGATAAGATAGTACTGACTGTGAGGTCTAAAAGACTCAAAATCTCTAGTAACCAAAAACAGTAACAGTGTACTTAGAAACGAGGGGGAAAATACAAAATAAACAGTGTGACTTAGTCTGACGATCTTTTTAACGAACTCAAAATACAAGTCACCATAATAATTCCTAATTTTAGAAAACAAGTTAGGATTTAAAAACCAATATTCCAAGATGACTTTTGAGTAACAATTTACTCCACTTTTTAAAAATCGAATGTTTTTCTCATAGCATATTATTTCACAACAAGAGAGAGAGAAAGAGAGAGGACGCGTGCAGACCCACAGAAAGAGAAATGAGCAGATTTTAGCTCAAATAGTAGAGCCTGGGATTAACTTTTAAAGATTTGTTTGTCAATTACAAAAACTCAGTAGTGGAATAAAGAGCTTAATACAGGTATGCAAAAAGGAAGCCCCTGAGATGCTTTCACCAGGATGAAATGGGATTAGCTTTGTAGGTCTTATAATCTTCTTCACAGAAGAATGCAATTTCAGTTTCACTGGCTGAAAAACAGAAAATGGAAAAAAGATATTAATGTAGAACTAAGTTTTAAACAAGTATGGAAATCCGTATTACTTTGATTCAGTATTTTAGAATAGCCTCAGGTGCCCACAGTGAAAAAGATGAATTATTTGTTGGGTTGCACAATGTATTTCACCAAATCAACAAGAAGTTTAAAGAGCAGTTACGAGAAACTAAAACTCAAAATATTTAAAACTAAAAGGGAAAACAGCCCCAACAAATTAAAATTAGGAGTTAATGCAAGAAACTGGGTTTTCAGGAAATCAGAAAATTGCTCATTTGTAGTTCTAGGAAATAACAAACCTTGATATTTTTTCAAATATCTACTCAGTTACTGAAGGAGGGGAAAAGGAACTCCCCGCCCCCTCCCGAAATTAGCCTGTAGGTATAAAAATTTAATACGTAGAGGATCAGTAGAATATTTTACAGATCACTTTACATTCTCCCTCATGACCCATCAAAATATGTGTCTGAAGAAGTTAATTTTTTGCCCTGCTTATGATTAATTCATGAGGCTTCAACAATATGCAAAGTGAAAGACACAAATTGGCTTCTACCTCAATACCTTCAAATACTTCTAATTATTCACAGGGGATATGGCACAGCTAAAGGACCCACAAAGGTTCAGAGCAGTCACAATTCTTTCAACCTAGCAGGTCAAGGACTCCATCTTCTGAAACAATAAGTCAGCAACATTATTAATTCAGACTGGAGACAAATCTGATGGAGAGCCTTCCAATTATTAAACATGCAATTCTTTAAGGTGTTGTGCCAACAAGTTCCACATTCATTTTCTAAATTAAACCAGAAGTTAATACAGTCTGCTTGGCTTTCTCAGAAAGAGCAAAAGGGCCTTCAGAATCTCCACAAGAAAACAGCCAAGATTATTTGTAATGAATACTGAGCACTCAATTAACATACACTCTAAAAGCAGACAAGTAAAACTCTTCAAGTCAAATAAATAGGATAATAAGGAAGAGTGCCAAGGATTACCACTGGTCTCTTCACTTCTAACTCTCATCTCATCATTAGAATTTACCACAAAAGAATGAAATTAAAGAGATTAGCATGACATTGCATTAAAAATGATTTTGCTGTTTTTAAGAATATCAAATTTAATGTCTTTGAATCTTAAGTTACCCATGCTCATTACAGAAATAAAGAAGTACAGGAAGAAGAAAACAAAATAACCCAGCGTTTCACAGCCTCATTCCGGTCCTGTACTATAGCGTCAAGATTAAATTTAATTTGAGTAGATGAAAATCAGATTGCAAACTCTCATCACAAGGAGCCTGGGGGAGACAGCAGAGAGAAACAGGGGATCAACAGGGAGGCTCTGTAAACAGATGTCCCCTAGGCAAAGAGTAAATTAATGTACCATTAAATTCACAAGAAAATGGCACTTAAGAGAATGGGCAAGAGGCTCCATGCTTAGAATTAGTTTAAGAAAAAAAATCAGAAAAGGGGGCTTCAAAAATTTCAATATTCAAAGGTAAGATATATAGAGATCTATCCTCTATACTAAAAGCTCCTGGGGTTTTCCTTTTTTGAAGGGAAGCATGCCCAGAGGTAGACTGATATAATTTGCAAGTGATTCTAATCAACCTTCTGATAGAGAATGAGCAAAAGACACCCTGTTCTTAATAACCACAGAGCAAGCTTTTATCTGTGACGTGCTATTTACATACAGAACTTCACACAAGCACTTTGCTCAATCCACACTAACTGTAATTACAATTTTCACTTACTGCGGCTGACATTCATCTGCACCCCTTCTGAAAAACTAATATGTTGTGCAGCTCTTCAGCACAGCAGTAGTAGGTTCAGAACTCGACGGAAGGACCGACAAGGCGGTTTTGTTTTGACAGGAGGTTCTCTTGGGTCTAATTAACTTACAGATCAACCCATTATTTACATAAAGTATTTATGCCATCTCTCATAATATACGCTCAAAATGAGATAATCTAGGGTAAAGATTTTATTTTCAGATGATAGCAGTTTTTTCAAGAAAACTACATTGACCAGTGGGTTAAACGCAAATACTTCAGGTTGATAAAAACAAAAAAGAAAAAATTCACCCTTTGCAAATTGGAAAACACACAAAAGTCACTCTGAACATTCAAAAGTAAAACATAAAATGGATTTTAAACTTTAGAAATGTGGTCCTTAAATAGAAGTAGACTATAATGGTTTTAAAAATCTGTAAAACTCCATAGAAAATGTTTGAGAGAATGATTTCAGGGACTTCACACTGCAAATTTGCCAATTTAAGTACAAACATATTAGAAGTGATTTTTAAGACCTCTACATAATCACTCTTTCTACCATTACCCCTTAAATTCCTCCCAAGTACTGTTTAAAATGGCTCCTTTAAAAATGGCTGAGGATGAACCCTCAGGAAGTCAACGATGTGCTGGTCCCCTAGGGCACCTGATTTTAAATTAAATGTGCTGCAGGCAGCAGTGCAGTCAGGTGCAGAGTGTCTTGGCAAGGGAATCTGAAATGAATGTGCAATCTAAAATCCAATAAATACATTGCCACTTCATCCCTTCGTCTTACTATCAAATGAAATCAAGTAAGAACCCTCCAAATACATTTGTAGGATCATTTTAATGCTGATGTTCAAGTTTAATGAAATGAACACAAGCCAGGGTCATTCAGACTTTGGATATAAAATTAATAATTTCATACTGCTTCCAAATAGGTCAGATACACACACACACACACAACTTTAACAGGAAAAATGACTTTAAGCAAGTAAGAACAACAAATTTTAAGTGCAAAATCCCAAGAAAAATTAAATGCAATGTATTTAAATTCTTCAACTAATTTCCCTCAATAATCTCATCTCTTAACAAGGACCTATCATACACTTAGTCCCTAGCCTCTGGTCAGCAACAAAATGGTATGAGGTATAGCCCCTGATGTCTGGAAGTAGCCTGAACCATGTGCACTGACTTTGTCCCATGGAGAATCCATGATCAAGGCAGGCTGCCACACGGCAGTAACTGGAGATCACTGACAAAAAAATTACGTCAAGGGCGAGGTATGGCCTCTGCAGCATCTGAGGCCAAAGCCAAGTCTCACCGTGTCTCTTGCTCTGGAAACACAGCCTATCCTATACCAAACCTCACAAAATCCTAATCTACAAATCATGCAGATTGCACTCACAGCTGAGTTCTATTTCTAAATTTTCACCAAAGGAGGCCAGCAGTTCAACAAAGACATCCCAGAGACTGTGCCTTTTATTTCACATTTGCTTCAGATGTCTGTTTTGGATCAGCTGGCAGAGAGGATTTCAAGCCACAGTTTGCAGAAAACAAATACTTTTTTAAAAAACCTCATCTTCAATAAACTGGTCCACATGCCTGTAATTTCCACAATGAGGGGACGGTGATAAAAAGGGAAGTACAATCTATGGAGGTTCATTCTGACTCCTTGTTCTGGAATCCCCTGATTCCCTGGGCTCACCACCCACTACCAAGAACCAGACTGTGTCGCTATTTCCATGTAAACGTATAAACATGAAAAATGGCCACTGTAACTCCCTATTGAGGAAGAAAACATGCATGTCCTAAGATATTACTACCCAAAATAAGAAAGGGAAGGGGACCCCAACCAAGGAGACACAAGTAAAACACCATCCTGATAAAGAAGCTGGAGCAAAGAATCCTCCAGCATTCACAGTGCCTATGAGATACCCAAAAGGCGCCCAAGGACTCGGTGAGGTCCAATGGGCTTCTGTTTGGGGGCAGATGACAGAAGGGACATATACAATGAAAACAAACCACAAGGGAGATTTGGAATTACTATGGGGCCTGCCTTGACAGAACTCGCCCCTCAGACAAGGATTTACTGTTTGGCCCATTGTACCTTGTTTTAAAATATTTCCAATAGGCTCAGCATCTGTAGTTCAGCAGCTAGGGAGCCGGCCACATACACGGGAGTTGGCAGGTTTGAACCCAGCCCAGGCCCGTCAAACAACAAAGACAACTGCAACCAAAAAATAGCTGGGCGTTGTGGTGGGTGCCTGTAGTCCCAGCTACTTGGGAGGCTGAGGCAAGAGAAACGCTTCAGCCCAAGAGTTGGAGGTTGCTGTGAGCTGTGACACCACGGCACCATACCGAGGGTGAAATAGTGAGACTCTGTCTCTCTCTCTCTCTCTCTCTCTCTATATATATATATATATATTTCCAATAAAAACCAACCAACTTTAGAAGAGTTACCCTGCCACAATTTCTCTCTGAAACCAAAATGGATTCAACAGTAGTTGAATATAGCAACTACTTGTTGTTACAGTGATACTTTATCTTTTATAAAAAAAAAATTATCACTAACGAAACAGAAACCAAACTTGCTTACAAATTTATTATAGGGAAATTAGTGCATAGAACTACAATTGTTAATAACAAAGTTTAAAATGTTTAAATTATAAATAACACTCCTAGGTAAAAATAGCTTCTTCCTCTTACAAAGCAAATCTTTTTTATTTATGTATTTTTGTACTAAGTCCACAAGCAAAAACTGCCACTGACGTCAGGTGTAGAATATACAATGGGGATCTGCAGTGCAGATAAAAGGCCAGAGAATTTCTCGATGAGAAAAGAAATCTTCAAACAAGTTTTTCCCCCCTAAAACCCCTCTCAAAGTCTTTCTTTTCTTTTCATGATTCCTACGGAAAAGTCCTAATGATAAATTTGTTACATGGGCATTATTCCCATGGCAACTGGCTGTGATAGCAGAGTGACAGCTCTACAGCAAGATCAAGTGGTAAAAAGGCAGACAGGGTCGACTTCAAATTTTTCTCTTAAACCTCTTAAAAACCTAACCAGACATGGCACCAAGGGAGAGAAAATTCCCTAGAAAAACCACATGTTTCAAGTCGTTTTTACAACTCGACTCACATTCAGATTTTTTGTTGCTCTCCAGGGATCCTCATCTCCTTCCCTGGATACACCCTTGGCTTATTCCTGGAGTACAGCAACACTGCTCTAGGCAACAAAAAAGAAATCGCTCTCTGCAGGGACCCAGGCCACCCATGCCTGGTGCTGCTGGCTTGCCAGGGGCAGGGGGCCAGTTTAGAGCCCTCATCCACCCCGAAAGAAGTGGAGCAGGGTGGGAAGGATCTGACTCTGATCCAACAACTGTGGCCTCAAAACAAGATGACAAAAAGGATTCACCTTTACAGATGGCTCATTACATGTGTCAGTCTGAGATTAAGGACAAGAGCAACAACTCTGTTTTAGTGAAGTCAAAGCATTTGCCAACTGCCTTCTCCAGGATGGTTTCCAAATACAACAGGTGCTCTTGAGGGCCTTTTACATGTGTTACTCCCCGTGCCTTCATTCCTTCACACAACCCTTCTGACAATTTTCTGAAATAGAGTTCACCATTCCCATTTTTACAGAGAACAAAATAGAATTTCAGAGGGTCACAAAGCAATTAAATGTACAGCCTTCATTCATACTGATTCTCCTCAACTTTAGGGGTTTATTGTTTGTTTTTTAAAATCAGTCTCTTAATTATAAGAAACACAGGTAAACCATAGAAAATTTTTAAAGCACCAATGGCAATTAGGCAATGGAGAGAAGAAAAATATTAATTACTAACAATGCCACTGCCCTAAGAAACTATTTCTATAATCTTGGTATATGAACTTGTCTCCATCTACACATATACACATGTAAATATCAAAAGCTTTAAACAGTAACGACACCATGCAATATATCCTATTCCCACTCAATAAATAAAGCTCTCCATTGGTGATTTACCAACAGAGACTGTAAGGGATGACCTCACCATCCCTCTGAAGACATATCACAACTCATGGCTTCTTCCTGTTAGCTTAGTAATAAATATGACAGAAAGTTAAACTTGAGAAGTCTTATTGGTCAAACCGACCTACAGAAAATTAGAGATAACATACATTTCCAGTGGTGAAGAAAATTCACTGGCGAAACATAATATTCATTTCGTCACACCTTGAACTTCATTTTTGTTCATGTCCACTAATCTTATAATAATTGCAGCTTACCCAGGGGGATCCAGACAATAAGAGACAGAATTAGACTTTTAGATTTTTAGGTGTTTTTTGAATTTTTTTTTCTTCTTTTAAGAAACAAGTGTCTCATTATATTTCTCAAGCTAGTCTCAAACTCCTGGCCATTCTCCCACCTTTACCTCCCAAGAGACTGGTACTACAGGCATGGGTCATTATACCCAGCTAATTTTTCTTTTTTTTGAGACAGAATCTCACTTTGTCACCCTCGGGAGAGGGCTATGGCATCATAGCTCACAGCAACCTCAAACTCCTGGACTCAAGCGATTCTTTTGCCTCAGCCTCCCAAGTAGCTGGGATTACAGGTGCCTGCCACAACACCCGGCTATTTTTAGCGGTGGGGTCTCCCTCTTGCTCAAGATGGTCTCAAACCTGTGAGCTCAGGCAAACTACCCGCCTCTGCCTCCCAGAGTACTAGGATTACAGGTGTGAGACACTGTGCCCAGCCCCCCAGCTCATTTTTAAAAAAGTTTTTTAGAAATGGGGTCTCTCTCTATTGCCCAGGCTAGTCTCAAACTCTTGACCTCAAGTGATCCTCCCACCTCTGGGATAACAGGCAGAAGCCCTATACCCACCTC